TGTGTGTGTGTGTGGCCAGCTCAGCCCACCAGGGGGCAGGGCTGGCTGGCATGTGGTGCTGGGGGATTGAACCGCGGTACCTGTGCTTTGCTAAGCTTGTTCTAAGTAGGTGCTTTAGACCACTGAGCCATCTCACCAGCCCCAAGAGAGTCTTATTTTTCAATGGCCATTTTGAAAAACGCTTATTAAGATGGAAAACGTAATGTGTTTAATATTTAAAAAGCTGAAATAGATGAAGATAAAGGACAATAGAAAAAATTGTAAAAACAAACATTTGAAAAACAGAAAAGTTAGAAAAGGGATATACAAATTATGATCAAATGAAAAGGCTCTAGATAGATCACTTAGATCTAGAAGTTTAGTGGCTAGAAATTCTAACTGCTTCTCTTTTCCCTACTATAATACTATGTATACTCAAAGATATTTTCATCTGCTTGTATATGGTTTTATACATAGATACTTAAATGTTGCCAGTAATCGAGACATTTTTACCAGAGGTCTTTTCAGCTGAAGTTATGTATTATTATGACCAGGATAGTTTGTTTTGTTTGTATTTTAGGGAAGGGTGTACAGAGTGTTCAGGGTCTCACCACTAGATGGGACTCATAGTGATCTGCCTGTTTACAGCCTCCCAAGAGCTGGGATTATAAGCGTGTGCTACCATGCCCAGTTTCAATTGCCTTCTCATGAGCCCCGGGGGCAGGGTGGGCACAGCAGGCCAGGGGATCAAACTCCTGGCCCCTGTGCCTGCTTGCAGGCACTTTAATCCGCTGAGCTATTTGGCCAACCCTTGAGACATTGTTCATGTCATACATGAATCCACTTTTCAGGATATTACTCCAATAAGGCCTTAAAAACTAAAATTTCACCCCCCATTTCCAGCCCTCAGTCTCACACATAAACAGAGGTCCATAAAACCTTAAATAACAAAATCAGACACAAAAATCACTGCTACAGAAAGCAATGAATTCAGCAGAGGTTTTATTCCCAAACTCTTCAAATATTTTTACAAAGAGAAATAAAATGTCTAACAGTGTCTCAAATTAAATCAAAGACATACCATCCAAATAAAACACTTGTGGCATCAAGAATTCCTTTACGTTGTAGTATTTTCACATTATTTTGTTTTTAACTATTTGCACTCTTGTACATGTCATTTGCATTTTAAGTATTGTTTCAGGATGTGAAATAATGTAGTGTTGTTTAAAAGTGCAACACTACTATAAGCTACAGAAATCTATGAGAAAAAGGATCAAATGCTTCAAACACAAGAGAAACATTAATCTTTTTAAACAAGTTGGCTAAGGAATATCTCCTGTGGTTAGTATTAAACATAAATCTTCCAATTATAAAAAATTAAGACACTAAATGCATAAGGGTCTGTTTTCCCCTACATTATATTTTTTGTCTTCATTTGATAATTGTAAACTCATGAGAAAAGAACAAATTTTATTATAGTGTAAAAATCTTAGGAACAACAAATTACAAATATTCAATTTTTAATAGACAAAAATACTTTGCTTCCTAAAATGTAAACATTCAGTAAATAAAACATGCACGGTATTCCAGGAATGACACTACCAATAGTTCATTTATGAAAGAGGTGTATTTATTGATAAGGTTCTTGTTTACTAAAATAAAGCACTTCGGCAAAAGAACCAGACCATTACTATTTAAAACCCTACTCCTTCACTCACTTTCCTTATCTGAGTAGAAAATTATTAACTTTTGTAGAAATTTGGCTTCTGGGCCCGACCACAAGAAAGGTGTGAAATATCTAAAAGTCTTTTGATGAAACAAAAGCATTTTCTTGAAACTTGGAGGGAGTCGTTCATCACTGTGCTTGAAGGGATTCCTCAATGAACTTCTTCCTTACTGGGAAGAAAGCTTGGTTGGTTTTCATTTTTGTAAAATTTATTCACAAAATTAACTACTTATAATTTCACAGGGCATTTTAGTATTCACAGCATAGAAAATAAGTTAATTCAATAAAACATCTAAGCTACACCACTAGATTATACAGTACCCATGGAAATCCTTTGTAAAAAGAAAAACACTATGTCAATATAAAATTATTATTTTAGGGTTGGAGATCTAGCTCAGTGGGATAAGTGCCTGTCTGGCAAGAGCAAGTCCAAACCCCTGTATCAAAAACAAAAACAAAAAAATTACTTTAGTATTCTAAATGGGCATGCTTTCCATTAATAGGAATTATTATACCTAATGTAGAGTTACTTTTTATTTTTTTAATTTTTTTTCTAAGTGATACCTTTTATTATTTTTTATTTTAAAGAGAAAAAATATTTTCAGTTTTTGAGACAAGGTCTCACTATATAGTTCAAGCTGGCTTTAAACTCACTATGTAGTCCAGTTTGGCCTTGAACTCATGGCAATCCTGCTGCCTCATCCTCTTGAGGGTGTGCCACCACACTTGGCTACATCTTTTAAATAGGAACAATATCCTTTTTAAAAATATATGAGAGGGCTGGGAAGATAGCTCTTGGTCTCAGTACCTGCCTGGCAAGTTCAAGGACCTGGGTTGGATCCCTGGTACCATATGCGGTGGTGGCCCACACCTATAATCCCAGTGCTGGGGAGGCTGAGACAGGAGGACCACTATGAGTCCGAGCTGTGTAGTGAGACCCTGTACTAAATAAATAAGTAAATAAGTGATTTTTTTAAAAGTATATGAAAAAACCCTAAGATGATTACTTCCTATTGAATCACCACTTAGAACATATCATTTGAAATATACTGGTCCCAAAAGACTAATGATCTATGCCCCTTTCCTCTCAAAAAATAATAGTGAAAATGTAAATGTAAATAAGATTTCAGGACAAAATATTAAAACTTGTGAGATTTCTAACATATCACCTGAGAGGTGTTTTCATTTCAGTGATCAATGTTCAAAGTCCTTTTAATCTTATTCATACATTCCCCAAGTACTGTTACTAAATTACTTCTTCCAAAGTAGGATTAAGATCAAGAAATTAATACCAGTCAACTCACACAAAAGGCTCAACTACATTAGAACACTTGTGACTCAAGAGTTAGCACGCAAGAGAATTGAGACTCTTCTAATTGGGTATATGCTATAGGCTCAGTAGCGACAGACTAGAGTCACCCTTGGGGAAAAGTTGTACATTTTGCTGGCTTTTTATTTTAATTCCCCCAAGATTAGTGGATATTCAAATCTCAGGTCCCCAATTCCTTTGGGAAGTTCTGTAGCAAGGCCTTGGCCCCAGGATGGCATGGGGTAGCATTACTCACCAGTCTTCAGAGTAAAGTACAGGACCTGGGCTCCCGGAAGGGGTTGCTGCCAGCTGGAACACCAACGAGCAGGGCATCTTTGCAGGCATTCTGTATGCAGTACTGCCGCAGTTCTGCAGCTGCCTGGGAAACCTGAAACAAAGACGGGGACAACAGGACACACTGCTCACAGCCAGATCCACCCCAGCAGTCATCTGATACCCTGCATAGGATCACACGACCCGATAAAGGTCATGCTTTTCGCAACCTCCAAGTCTCTCCTGCTGATTCTAGTAACTGAATTCCAGAGGAAAGGTGACAATGTCTGTGAACTTCAGTATAGGATGCTTTGGGCTTAGTTGCTTATTCAACAAAGGCACAAAAAGTTGTATGTTTGACCCATTTAGAATCCTAGTTTTGAGACTTCACTGGTAAAGAAATATCTCATGCTAGTGTTTCCTGTACAAATTTTCATTATGTAAAGCATACACTGATAAAGGTCATGTTTCTTTCCTTTTTTTATCATGTATTCATTTATTTATTTGGTACAGGGTCTCACTAATCAGCTTGGACACAGTGATCCTCCTATCTCAGCCTCCCCAGCACTGGGATTACAGGCATGCGCCACTACACCTGGGTTCGGTGGGTGGCACAGCATGCCCTGGGGTTCTGGTGCTTGCATGGCATGCAGTACTGGAGATCAAACCTGGGTCTTTGTGCTTGCCACCGGTGCTTAGACCACCAAGCTATCTCTCCAGCCCAAAGGTCATGTTTCTTAAAGGTCACAACTGCCATGTGAGCAAACTCTTGCTTTGGGGTTTGTTTGTTTTTCTTTTTTTGTGGAACCAGGGATTGAACTCAGGCCATTCTACTGCGCTATCCCCCCAGCCCCAAGCAAACTGCCTTAATGGAGTCTTTTTGCTTTGTTTTAGTTTTTTGGTACTAGGAATCAAACTCAGGGCCTCACATTTGCCAGGCAAGCCCTCTGCCACTGAGCTATCTCCCTGGCCCTGTCTTAATGTTTTAAGACAGGGCCATGGTTCTACTGAAAATAATAATAATAATAATAATAATAATAATAATAATAATGCTCTAGAAAGAGGCTGCCTGGACCCAAATTCAGCTCTGGACCCAATTACAAGTGTTGGCTGTGGCCTGAAGCCCTGAACAGAAAGGTTGGTTGAGGAGAGGAAACCAAGAACTGAAACTAGGATTGTTGAAAATGTTCAAGACATGAAATGAAAAGGAAAACTGTCAAATGCCCTCTGCCCCTGTGAAGTAGCTAGGGAAGATAAGCATATCAACATCTTAAAAATAATGATAGGGGATAGAACAGCCCCAGAGAACTGGCTTCAAGTGACCTTGGGCAAGTTCCTTTACTTCCCAGTGCCTATTTCCTCATCTGTAAAATGTACTAATAGTATCTCACTTAATCATTGATGTGACTATTGAGTTAACACCCATGAAGCACTGACCATAGTGCCAATGCATATTGACAATGCATTTGTAGCAAATGGCAAACATGGTCATGATACTTTGCAACTCCTGCCACCGAGAGAGAGGTAGGACCTACTCACCCACCCATTAAATCTGGGATGGCCTTGAGTTGCTCTAAACTCTAAAATATGACAGGTATAGTGGGCAAATTCCAAGTGAGAACCCCAAGAATCTGGGCAGCTATCTGACTTGTGGCAGTTGGAACCCAAGACTACCGCACCGGAAGTGTTCTGGCGACCATCTGCCAACCCCAGGACATGTGAATGAGCCAAGCCTCCATGTGATTGCCTCACAGGAGAGCCTGGCATAGGTGAGCAGGACCGCACTGCGGAACAGAGCTCAAATTGTCAACCTAAGAATTGTGAGTTCAATGCTTTAAACCACTAAAGTTTTTCACTACTGTATAGGGCACCCAAAGCTGTTTGCCTTTTTTTCTTATTCTCCATTTTATGTAGATTTCTCCTTGGAAAATTTTCTCCCTTTATATTTTTCTTGCAAGTAAAAAGCATTTGTTTGGTTTGCTTTTTTTTTTTTTTTAAATGAAAATTCACACATATTCTACAAAAAGAGTCCCAATTGCTGTTTAAGTCTTACTCTTAGCTTGAATTAATTTTCCAAGCTTCCATATAAATGAAACACTAACTGCTGTGATGGTTTAGATACGGTTTGAATGTGCCCCTTCCCCAGGACCAAAATTTAATTCCCACTGTGAAGTACACAGAGGGAAGAAATATAATTGGACTATGATATTTAGAGATAGGGACAGTGGGAGCTGATTAGGACTAGTTAAAGCCATCGAGGAAGGTCCCCCAGACTGAGTAATGGAAGCTTCCTAAGAAGAAGAGAGGACCTATAGGTAACACACACTCCGTCACTTCCTGAGAGTTCTTGTGCTGCCTTGGAAGCCTCCAGCAGGGCAGGTTCCAAAAGATGCAGCCCCTGAACCTGGGACCCACAGACCTGGGCCACAAGAAAATTTCTTTTCCTGGCAATTTACCCAGTCTGAGATATATGTTCCATTATCAGAAACAAAAAACAGACTAATATGACTGCCGCTTAGTCATTGCTAAGTTCCTGAATTGCTTTAACAATTTTGGTTTTAATGTAATATTTTGTTATATAAATATAAACACATAATCTAATTTAACCAGACCAATGAATTTAAGCTTTTTTTTTTTTTTTTTTTAATATATCTGGTACAGGGTCTCAGAATGCAGCTTGGACTCCTAGCGATCCTCCTGTCTCAGGCTCCCCAGTGCCGGGATTATAGGCATGTGCCACCACATTTGGGCTCAGTGGCCAATTTAGAGGGCCTGGAGGCCAGAGCAGCATGACATGCGGTGCTGAAGATTGAACTCGGTCCCTGTGCTTGCCTAGGTGCAGTCACTTAGTCCGCTGAGCTATCTCACTGGCTTTTAAGCTTATTTTCTTTCAAGGGAAACTCCTGACATTTTTGTTTGAATTCTAATTGGAATTATTGGTTATAGAAAAGTTACTAGCTTAAAAACAAACACAGAACCAATTATGCTGACTGTCTGTAGCAGGGGAACATAATAGGTAGCAGGCTATCCTGAGACTCTGGGAGAAATGGAATTCTCAGGGTCTATCCTAGAGAATATGGCCATGCTGCCATAGTCAGACTACCACAAGCACACCCCTTAAATATACTTTTAATCTTATTGCTGGTATGGACCTTGAGCACTGCACTCCAGTTCTCTGGGGCTGTTCCATCCCCTATCATTATTTTTAAGATGTCCATACACTTATCTTCCCTAGCTACTTCACAGGGGCAGAAGGCATTTGACAGTTTTCCGTTCCGTTTCAGGTCTTGAACATTTTCAACAATCCTACTTTGAGTTCTCCATCTCCTCTCCTCAGCCAACCTTTCTCCTCAACAGCTAGGGCCGCAGCCAACACCTGTAAACTGTTTACTTCCGAAGTTTACGGTCCAATTTGATAGCGCATTCTAGCATTCCGTGACTCCACCAGCTCCCCTCCCCCAGAAGCTAATGTGGCTTCCCATTTCACACAGACAACTGTCATCATGCAAGTTTTGTAGCCCCTGTGGAGCACAGAACATCTACCCTCCTGACTCAGAGGGGCTCCTTCAACCCCTTTCCCCATTCTCCTTTTCTGTCAGTTTCTACACTTTGACCTAAAAATACAGTATGTTCCTTCCCCTCAATCTCAAAATACAGACTTCATTTCGCAAGTTTTTTTTTTTTAATTTTATTTATTTGTGTGTGTGTGTGTGTGTGTGGCCAGCTCAGCCCACCAGGGGGCGGGGCTGACTGGCATGTGGTGCTGGGGATTGAACCGCGGTCCCTGTACTTTGCTCAACTTGTTCTAAGTAGGTGCTTTAGACCACTGAGCCATCTCACCAGCCCTCATTTCGCAAGTTTTGAGGTTTTCTTTCAAACTAGGTTTCTGAGCCAGGTATGGCAGCGCTTGGGAGTTGAGCCCATCCCAGGCTACACAGCAAATTTCAGGCCAGCGTAGACCACGAAGGGAGACCTTGGCTCACAAGCAAAAACATCTAAAAGAAAGCCTAAAACTGGGTATCTCTACAAAAAAAGTCTGCTGCCTTATTACAACCCAGAGTTTTGCCTCCACTTCTACACATCCCTAACACCTCTCTGTGCTCTATAACCCTAGCTTTTTATCTTCTTTTATAATCTTCATTCATTAACTAGAATAGTTTTGTTTATTGATTAACTTTGTTTTTCCTCCCCGCCAGAATCATCCTACTGCCTGGATCAGTGCCGGTGGAGAGAAGGGCCCAGGGCCCGAGGTCCAGCACACTGCTGGCACCCATCTGCACGTCTCCGCGTCTCCAACTGCGCGGGGCGCAGCACCCTCCAGCCAACCACTTCCCCAGCAGGCCCTTCTTAGCAAACGACCAAACACTGGACTTGCTGACCAGCCCCGACCGTCCAGAGTTCCCCTTCCTTGCTATCTCTGCTTCCTCTTCTCGCGCCTTCCTTCTGAGCGGTCCCTGGTCGCCAGCTTTCTCACTCCCGTGCATTTCCACGGGCTCCTTCAGCACGGTGCCCTGCGCTCTGTCCGTGCAGCCGACCTCCTGGGTGTCGCTGCGAAACAGGGCTCCTGTTCCCCCAAGCCCGCTCCCCCCCAAGCCGCAGTCCACCATAGAGGATGGCAGCGCCACCCACCCTGTCACGGATCCAGGAACACGAGCATCCACCTCTCTCTCACGCTCCTATCCACCCACCGCCAGGTCCCGAGCTTCGTGGCCTCTCCATCCCGTCCTCCTGCATCAGCGGAGCGCAGGCCGCCAGCGTGTCGCCAGCATCACCGGTCCCTTCGGGTCACCGCCCACACAGCTGCGACCAGGCGAACCTTCCTGAGGGGACTTGGGGGTGGGGGGGCAGGGCCACATCGGTCCCACGGGTCGGGCCTGGGCCTCGGGCACTGGGACCTGGTTCCGTTCCCGGTGTGCCACCGGGGCCTCTGGTCGCCGGCCCGGTTTACCCTGGGCCAGCGGTCACCGCGTTCTCCGCAGGGGACGCGAGCTGAAAAGGCCGAGCGGCCAGCGCTTCCGGGCAGGCCTCACCTTGATCCTCTCCACGCTGGCTTCGAGCTTGAGCTGCTCCACTAGGCGCTGCAAGGCGCTCACGCTGGCCCCGGAAGACATGGCGACGGCGGCTCGGGCTCCGGGCAGCTGGGCCGGGGTGGGCTGCGACGCCCCGCAGAGCCGGCACCGCCCCGGGGCGGGGAAGCAGCTGTGCCCGCCCCGCCCCGCCCCGCGCCACGCCTCGCGGGGTCCCGCCCGCGGCGCGGTGGAGGGGCGATCCGGGTCCCGAGCGGCCTGGCAGCGCCCTCAGTGCTTCCTGCAGGCTAAACCGAGGCGACATCGGCATCTGCTCCCGAACCCGAGGCGGAGACCCAAGGTGCGGCGCCCCTCTCCACCGCGAAGCTGGGGATCCCCGTACGAGCGAGGTGGGAGGCCAGCGGGTGGAAAGGGGCTAGGCAGGCGGCAAATACGCACTGGTTTAAATCAGAGAACCACGATTCCCAGTGGCTGGAGCCAAAGTGCGACACGATCTGGAAAAAGAGAACCATGCGAAGACGGTAACTGAGAGAAGTGAAGCACGGTTTTTAGGATTTCCATAAAACAGTGTGACTAATTTATAAATCTTTACTGTTTCGTGGAAATCCTGCCAGTTGATGGAGCCAGGGAAGTGGGGTTAAAATCCCAGGCCCTAACATCTTTGTGAAGCATGAAATAAAATTGATCAGGTCCGTGGTTCCAACCCCACCATTTAACTGTGATCAAGGTTTCTAATCGCCCGCATTCTTTTAGCATGCAAATTTGTTTTAGGAACCTGTGATTGTTATTATATGTAAATATCTGTGGGGATTTCCGTTCAGTGTATCCTGAACATGTCCTCATCCTCGTATGCCACTGTGTATGTCAGACCCACTTAAACAATGCAAAAAGGTAACATACTGGTTTGTATAAATGCATAGCTCCGGGACTTTAAGCTAATAGGTTTACCTGCTTAAATAATAACTGCGCGGCCCTCATTCTCCATCTCTTGGCTCTGCTTTCTCTGGACATTGGCTTCATTTTCTTCAGTAGTGGACTCGGTACTGTGAAGGAAAGCTCCATGTCTTCGCTGTCCAGGCCTACCAAACCCAGCGGCATCTTTTCCACAATACCTTTTGCTAACAAGGGCTCCATCCAAAATCTCCATAATGGGTCTCACTGGCTTATCCTGAGTTTAGCCCCCGCTCAAACTCTGCTTCTGCTGGGTGTGTGACACTCATAACTCTCGGCTGAAGGGTCTCTGTGAACTGCACTTAGCAGAGAGCCACCCACACGAAGGTCACCACCTCCCAATGTCAGCCTCATCTACTGATCGCTGTGTATTGAACCCCAACCCCAGCCTCATGTTTTGTTTTTGAATGTATTTGGTACAGAGTCTCACTACGCAGCTCCTAGCAGCTCCTACTCCTAGTGATCCTTCTCTTTTTAGCGCCCCCCCCCCCCCAGAACCGGGATTATAGGCGTGAGCCTGGGTTCTGTGGCCAGCTCAGTACAGGCAGTGCTGGACCCGACTCCCACCCTCACCCCCATCCCTCCACCTTCCTAAGCTGGTGCTTAGTCTGCTGAGCTATCTCGCCCGCCCTCCCGGTCTCATGTTGAGGCAGCAATTTTTGAATCATCCCAACTCTGGAGCTGCTGCTGGATCATCTGCAGTCTTTATAGCAACCACATCACAAGTCAATTCCTTCTTCTGCTCAATCCCTACTTCCTGGACTCTAATGCAAATACTGATTTTAGGGCTAATTCCCAGTAAAGTTTCAGTATGAAAATCTTCACCTCAGGGTCTGTTTTTCTGAGGATCCCAAACAAAAGCACCCAAACAACTGGACTGGTTGAGGGTGGAGGGCCCCAAAGGACCATGAAGGTCACCATAAACTTTTCTGAAAGTGTCATTTTCCCTTAGGATGCATTCCTGAGAGTAGAACTGATGGGTCAAAGAATATCAATATTTAAACTTTTTTTCCTAAATCTGATATTGTGGGACACACCTGTATCACCAGCACGTTGGAGGCTGAGACAGGAGAATTGCAAGTTCCAGGCCAGCCTGGGTACATAAGGAGACCCTGTCTTAAAAAGGCAAAAACAGAACACAGAACATCTTTTTCCTATTTTCCAGACATGGTACAATAAATTTCCCACTGGAAGACTGAGATAGCCTATTGCTATACTACCATATTACACAAATCCATCTTGTACTTCTTTTTTGCAGAACCAGGGATTGAACTCAGACCCTTGCACTTGCCAGGGAAGCGCTTATTCCACTGAGCCATCTCCCTGGCCCCCCCTTTTTTTTCCTTCATATTGTACTTCTTTACCCACTTGCTAGATGAACAACAGTATCACAAGTGTTTTAAAGACCTTAACTAGGGAGGCTGAACATTTTCTCTACTCATTTTGTGATCTGTGTGTTCATGATCTTTGGGATAGTCAAATCCTACCTAGTGACAGCAGTAGTTTTGCACATTTGAAAGCCCTCTCTAGCGGCAAGTTTCCTCACTACAAAGAACTTAACATATATTCCAGAATAAAGATGAAACTACATATTCATGTTGGAGACATACTGGACAGAATAGAATGGCTGTGTGTTAGAAGGACACAGGAGGCTGAGGCAGGAGGATCAGGAGTTACACAGGGAGCTCCAGGCCAGCCTGGCTGACAGACACCCTGAAAATAAATAGTAGCCAAGATGCTAATGTGAGAAACTACTGCACAGCAATGACAGCTATAGTAATGAGATTATCTCAAAATAACTAGAAATGAAGGCTTTAGAGCTGCTCAAAGGGACATTGTAGTGGATTCACTAGTGGTGAACTTGTAACACCCAGCTGAACTGAATGAGCATGGTGCTGGGTGTGGAGGGCCTACCTGAGGACTGTTGCAAACAGCATAAAAGGAGAGCTGGAGGGGAAGATGGGGTGCTGTTGATTCTCCTGGAGAATCTTGTCACACTGGTTTTCCTGATATGAATTCAGCTGTTTCGTTAGAGGAGTTCAAGTCCTTGCTGTTGTTGAGGATTGCTTTGGTTATTTTCAGAGGAGCTCTGCTCCTTACCTTGAGTGTTGCTTCCTGGCTCCAGTTTAGGTCCCTCAGCCTGCTGGCACAGGTCCTTCATCCCACTGATGCAGACCTTCTAGCTTCCCCCACTGGCCTTTGAGCCTTCTAAGTACAGGTTCTTTTGTTGTTGTTGTTTGTTTGTTTGTTTTTATATATTTAGTACAGATGTTTTCAGCCTTCCCAGAGCTGGGATTACAGGTGTGTGCCACCATGCCTGGTCTCAGTGGCCAGCTCAGCATGACAGTGGCAGTGCTGACGTGGCATATGGTTCCAGGGTTCAAATCCCAGTCTCTGCACTTGTCTAAGCAGACTCTTAGCCCACTGAGCGAACTCGCTGGCCCACCGAGTGCAGGTTCTTGATATTGATACAGACTTGCACAAGCCATTGTTGTGGGTTCTAAGACTTCAGCTGGACTTGTGCAGGACATTTCTGCAGAATCTAGGCCCTCAGCTGGATTCTTTGGGTCTTCAGTGCATAGACAGATCTCATGCACTCTTCTGTATTTGACTTGAGTGAATATTATAAAATAATTCCATAAATTATGTGTCTTGTATTGAAACTATTCCCTTGCAAACCCTAACTACAACAGACATATGACGTGACTTGTGTGTCAGTCAAGAGATAGCAACAGATACCAGGACGTGGGGGGCATCTCCTTCATGTCCATACCCACCCACTGCATGCCCATCTGTTTTTTTGCCAGGGTTTAGCATAGAGTCCCTGCAGTGGTTCAAGGACAAGCAGGCAGGGTGCCATCTATACTTGAGGAGAGTCAACCATCTTTCACAATCAGAGTTATCTGATCAATTCATAGTCAAAGGTACCATCAGGTAATGTGGTACATTTCCTATTTTAAGGATGAAGAAAGTGACACTCATTAGGGAAAGTGAAGTGACTCAGTGGGATTGAGAGCAAGAACTTTCTCATTCCTTTGAAGAGAAGTCATCACTCATCTGGACTAGAGTGCAGCCCCATATGTAGCATGCTCTGCAGAGCTCTGAAAGGCGAGGCCTTGGGATACGCCTTGAGAGGGCCAACACGCAAAGGTCACCACTGTATTATTTTTAGAATTTGATTACTCATTTTTTGTTGGTTAGACTATAAAAACCTTTAAATCCTGTTTTCAAAAACTTTGAGAAGGGGCTGGGGAGATGGCTCAGTAGGATAAGTGCTTGACTGGCAATCACAAGGATCTGAGTTCAATCCCCAGTTCTGCCAAAAAAAAAAAAAAAAAAAAAGAAGTTTGAGACATGTCAATATCCCTGTATAGTAAAATGTTTCAATTGTCCCCAGTTATACTCTATATACATTATTTCACTCGTGCTTGTGTTTTGGCACTTTCTTTATACCAAGAGTGGCTTATTTTTTCCAGAAAAGGGGTTATGAAGCACTCATCCCCATTAAAATGATACAAGAAAATGATACATTTCTCTCTGCCAATGTTATATCATAACGACAGTGATATATACTTTCTAAAATGATTAGGAAACAGAAAAGCAATTTAACAAGTATATTTAACTGAGTGCAGTAGTGTACACTTGTGGTTCAAACTATTTAGAAGGCAGAAGCAGAAGGATCACTTGGGCCCAGGAGTCCAAGGTCAGTCTTAATAACATAAACTTCATCTCCAAAACAACCCTTATGGGGGCAGCTGAAGCCGGGAAATACTTTGGTTCTGAGAAAAACATCTTGCCTAAGAAAGTGCAGTCATTGGTTTCTAGGCAACCCTGGGCCTCCTGTTACCAACTTTCCAAAAGTACAAATAAATGCCCCTATGGTGACTGTCCAGTCCTCTTTTCCCTTCTGGAAAGAGGCCACTTCATGTGACTTCAGCTTTCCTTTTGTCTATATTTTCTAAATTCCCTCATCATTTTCTCTCAGGAACACTGAGAGCCCTGCCAGTTTGAGGCTATTTGGCACCTGAACAGGGACACACGGTAAGGAAAACTGGTAGGCATCAGGACACTTCTCAAATTTTGCATGCAACAGGGGAGAGAAGTGCGTTGGTAAGTGACCTTAAAATAATAATAAAAGAAGAAATAGGATGCAAAAAAGAGAAAGGAATATTGAATTGCTAGTAACTAAAAATGGGACCGGT